GGAAACCAACACAATACCATTACTTCATTATAGTAATTCTACAACGACAACGTTTAGAACACTAACTTTAACTTGTTATTGCAATGAAACACTTAAGTGACAACTAAGACATGAAGTCTCGTATGTACTTTTTGAACATACACCAAAATTTAATAATTGTGGTTCCGTAGATATAGACTTATTAACACAACTCATATCCCATCTTTAATTTTGCCAAAATAAAAATGAGGCATACGGTGCGCGTGTGTATACAACATGTAAACAACTATATATGTACACATACATACAAAGTGTACATACAAACTTCAAATTGCTTTAATAGAAAATAGAAAAGCCTAATTTGCTTACCTACGCACAGGAACACACCCAAGCGCGAAAGACACGGATTTGGAAATTATTTTTATCTGAAATCATAGAAAATTTCCCCAAATTATTTTTTTCAATTCAAAATACGTATGGATATATATGATATTGCAAGATGCTAAAAGTTAAGAAAAGTGTAATTTGACCACTAAAGGGTTTGAAGTCCAAATGACGGCAGACCTACGACCTAGTCCCCTTGAAGATTGTGGTGATTGATGACAATCAACTTATCCAAGAATAGGTGCATTGTCTCAAAAGGTTGTTTTTCTAGAGAGATGATTGATCATTTATGTATATTGGGGCTAGACGAATGTGGAAGGTTTTCCACCTCAACAAAATAGCCAAGAAGACGAAGAACTTTTTCTGCCAATCCAAAGGACAATCATTCCCTTTGAAGCTCAAGATCCATTGAAGGACATTAATATGGAAGATGATATAAACCTGCGGATGACAAGAATCAATGCTTTATCGAGTCAGAAACAAAAACACCAGCTCGTTGAATTGATTAAAATATTTTAAGATTGTTTTTTATGAAATTATCTCGAGATGCATGGGCCGGCTCGAAGCTTAGTAGAACATCATTTTCTGACCAAGCCTTCTTTCCGCCCCCTTAATCAACCTTTAAGGTGTTTTAATCCCAAATTTATCCCCAAAATTAAGAAGGAAATTGAGAAGTAGTCGAAGGCCAATTTTATCTGTACATACCGATATCTAGAATGGATCTCAAATACTGTACGAGTACGGAAGAAGAATGAAACAACCTATGTTAGCAGTAGAAGGTTGCTTAAAATCAAGGCTGCTTGAGTGGCCTAATTGGAGAACCTACTAGATGAAGAGTCTGTTCTGAACTCTAACCCTTACTGCATGACCAACTTGTATGAATATCCTTGGCTACCATTAGGAAGAAAAGTGAATGGAGGAGGTGAAATGGGAGAAGAAAATAAGAATTCTCCAATGAAATGATTAAGTTTATGCAGTGAGAAATGATTGAACTATATACCTCCAAAAATACAATATAAAATCGTGGTTATTCATATATTATTTTACACTATATTTTTTTGTGAGGACACTTTTAATACCCCGGAGTTGGGCCGGTGCTAGACCAACTTTCGTAGATGAGCTGGTGTCAGGTCATCCGAGGTTGAATATAGGTTAAATGGATTGAATAGACTACTCATGTCAACAATGTGCACATTTCTTTTAGGGAGCCTTACTGAAAGAACTCATTTGAGGATGGTTGACCTCTTCAGAAGTCTCCCAAGGTGTGCACGTTTTGGATGTTTTTAAAATCAACAATTATGGAGGTTTTAAGATGATTAATAAAATTAGTCAAGCTTTGGGGGTTACTTCATTTAATAAAATGTATTAATGAAGTATAATTAGAGAACAAAAGTGAGGGTGAGGGTACCGATAGAAATTTATTAATGAAGTGTAATTAGAAAATAAAAATTAAAGGAGATAGATTCAGACGGACAATAAGGTACACACCGAAACAACTCCCTTCATAGTAAACTTTGACAGCTTTGCTCATGTTCTTCCGGTATTGCTAGTTTCATAATATATTTTTGTATTGTTTGTTTGTTGCTGGTTCTTGTTTTGGTCTTTATTTATCAATTGCTTAATTAATTAGACACAATATAAACTTCCAAGACTTTTTTGAATTCTTTGGGAAATTTATATAATTAGCCCTTAGATTGGCCCAATTTGTAGGCCATCTAAGAAAAGTTGATATTTAGGGATAACAATAATTAATTTTATAACTTAAGGTAACAATAAAAAAGAAAGTTCATATAAATAAGTACAATAACAGAATTTGTGAGTAACGATAAAAAAAAAAAATTTCATATAAATAAGTGTAATAATAGAATTTGTGAATGTAAAAAGTAAATTGACATAAATAAAGTGAAAATAAAATAGATTGGAGGATTCTAAAATAACTTTTCCTAAATTTAATGATATTTGGTTTAAGACTAGTCACATTAAAATCATGTTCCGAAGTATGATCAAAAGATACAAATGATTGAGCAAATAGGGTCGGTTAGGTCGTGTCTTCACAATTTTATTTTCACTATATATTTATAATAATACAAATAATAATACTAATATATATTTATTTTTTTCAATAATATATTACATATAAATTTAGATTCTATTCGAAATATAATATAAATACGTATGTATATTATTGTAAATTGCACAAATTTTAATTCAAAACTAACATAGCAAAATATTACCAAACAAACCCCTAAGACCATCCGCATTGGGCACTCGCCCTCTTAGGAGATGCGCCACATTATTATTTTTTAAAAATAAAAATAAAAATTAAGATATAGTTTGTCTCCCAACATCTGATGTTATCAAATTGTCATGTGTCCCAATTTAATTGTGACACATGAAACTTATGTTTTGTTTTTTTAATTTATATTGAATTTATTATTATATTTAAATTTTGTAATATTTTTATAATTTATAATATTTTGTATTCTACGAAATGATATCAATATTGAATATATTTTATCAATTTAAATTTTAGAATATATAAATACAAATATTATATAAAAATAAATTTAAAATAAATTAAAACTAAATTTAATTAAATAATAAGTAATATTCCCTCCCTTCGTCCCAATACAATACTCCTGTTTACCATTTTTGTTTGTTCCAAAATAATAGTGTGATTTTCATAAATAATCATATCACTGTAAAACTAGCCTTACTTTTTTCATTATTATTACATAATTACCACTACTTTTTACACTAATACACTCACAAGGGCAAAAAAGTTTTTATCCTTACTTTTTATCCACTACCAATATAATATCAATATTTCTTAAATCCCGTGACAAACACAAGCCAGACTATAGTTTTGGGACGGAGGAAGTATAACTTTTTTCCCATAATTTTATAATAAATCAAAATATTGACAAATAATATAATAATTAAATAATTAATTAATACTAAAAATTATAATTATAATTAAAAATAATATGTATATATAATATGAAAATAAAAATTTATTAAAAAATTAGGATAAATATCTTTGTTGCGAATATAAAATAGAAGAGAATATTTCTGCTGACGAAAGTGATATGGATAATAAAAAGTAGTGGAGATACCAAAAACGGATCTCTTCATTGCGGATAGTAGTAATTTCTACATTCGTACAATTTTAAAAAAATAATAAAAATAAATATGAGCATGCACGGCAAGCATGAACTTTTATTTATTTATTTATTTTTTCAAGCATGAACTTTGGGGAGGAATGGACGCACATTTAATTAAGTGGTAATACGTGTCATCAATAATTTTATTTTATTAAAAAAACCATTTTTATAATTTAATAATTATGCTATTAATAAAATACTTTAGTACCTTATGTAAAATTCAAAATACTACTGTTATCCAATTAATATAAAAAAATAATTAAGTGTGTCCTATTAAAATTAAAATCACTATTACCCAATTACTTAAAAATCCAATCTATTTAGAATAATTAATTTGCATTTAAAAAATATAAGTGTACTTAAATAATACTTATATAATAAAATTTTATATAATACAAATAAATAAAAAAAATATATTTATTTATTTATCATTATCATAAATTAGTTTTATAAAAAATGAGGAGTTTTAAAGGTAGATAAAAATATTTGTTAATTGAGAAGAGATAGAGAAATAAAAAGGTTTTTGAATGAGTTCTACGTGTAAGATATTACAAGTTTAATTAAATTGATTTATATTTGTTAAGTATGTTTAAAGTTGATAAACTTACCAAAAAAAAATAAATAAAAAGGGATCATCTTTTATGAGATATACCAAAAAGAAAATTAGATCATTTGTGGCGAGACGATGAGAGTATTTTAGATTCACTCTTTTGTTCGGCTTCTTCTTCTGAAACAATACATAAGTAATTTGTTCTTTTAACTTTTTGAAATTTTTTCTTTTTTATAGTTATATATATATATATATCGCTAATTATTGAAAATTGTTAACGTTTTATTGAAAGTTATGATGCTTGGATTAAATCATTTTTATTTTTGTTAGATATTTTGTCAAAGATAATAATATATATATTTTAAAAAATGTTGGTAAAAGTTTTTTTTTTTTTTTTTTTTTTCAATCTCTACATCTCCAATATATATATAACAAAAAAATCAAACTATTATACAATTACAAAACACAAAAGTAAAAGAACAAATATGCATCTTTAGAAAATGTGAATTACATAAATGCATTATTGTATAGAAGCAAGGAAAACATTGTATAATATGATGAAGATATAGAGCTGAGGTGCAGTTAGAGAGAGGGTAATATATATATATATATATATATTATACTCCCTTCGTCCCAAATACCGTGTCTGCTACACTGTAGACATGGTATTTTAGGAGGGGTGTAATTAGTAAATAATTAAAAATGTATTAGTGAAAATAATTATCCTATAATATAAATAATTATAAATTAATATTAAGATAACTAATTAGTTTAATTAAAATTAAAAAAAAAAAAAATTTAAAAATTTAAAATGAAATTAAAGTGTGTAGTTATTTTCCAAAAAAAGAAAGTGCCATGGTATATGGGACGGACAGAAACGGCAACGTGAACATAATATTAGGAACGGCGGGAGTACATTAATATATAATGCAGCTGCAGCAGGGGAAGAGCAATTTGCAATAGAATGAATGAATGAATGTGTTTGTTCTTGAATTGCAAAGTCATACAATACTAAATAAGACAACACGCCCGTAAATGATGGTTTGGTGGTGTAGGGAGAAGTCATGGTTCAAATCCCGACACGTCCAGGTCCACCTTGCGCAAATGATAACTATGAAGGAATGAAGCAATCAATGAATGTATGTGGTAAGAATTTGTGGGAAGAAGTAAACCAATCATCTATCATGTTACATTATTTTTCTCTAATTTTGGCTAAAGAGACAAAATATTACAAGTGTAATGCTGCTACATTTTCAGAAAATGCATGAATGACCTAAAAGGGGCTATATATATATATATATATATATATATCAACAATTAATTTATATGTATAAAAATATGGATTGCAATTAAAAATAACAAAGAGAAGAAAAGTCTCTTATTAACTATATATACTCACTCACACACAGCAAGAGAGCATCGAAGCGAATCGATCTCACAACCGTTTGTTCCTTTCTCGTCGCATTCTTGCCCCCCACGTCGATAATGGATTATCGTCGACGCTCTCCTTTTGCATGCTCCTTCTCTTCAGCCCCGACACCTGGTTTTGCCAGCGGCTCTTCCATTCACTCTTGTCTGCAATTTGCTGCTCCTAACGCAACAAATCAATTCATAACACGCGATCAATTATCCGCCAAAGAAAAACGCAAGAGGAAGTTTAGAAAATAAGCAGAGAAACAACGGATCAAGTGCGCAGACTTGTTGTTTGCTATGGAAAATCTGGGTAATCTAGAACATTATTAGCTCATGCAACTAAGTTTACTAAATCCTTAAATTCTTACTTATCATAACTCAAGCTATTGTGATTCAAAACAAATCTATATAACAGGTGATTCAAAGACATGAGTGAACCAAATAAAGCAACACAACAGCCAAAAGTGTGCAGAAATATTATCAGCAGTTCCAATTTATTGTTACACAGATAACAGTTGCTATGAAATCACAAAAAGAGAACAGTTAATTCAAACAGTGCAAATATAAATGGACTAGTAATCTTCAGTCAAAGGAAGAAAGAAACAAAGAAAGAAACGCAGATACAGAGCCCCAAAAGAAACAGATGGCACCAACGCACTGTCAGCTCCAGACAACAAGGCGATAAAATCCAGAATGGCAAAGCTAATTATTTATTAGTGTTTTTTCTAAAAAAAAATAAATGAAGGGTATTTGATCGAACCTCGTCGAATTTGCCCCTTCTTCGGGCGGTGAACGCGAGGTGAACTCCCTTGGCCATGTCGCGGTCGTACAATTCCCTCCTATTCGGATCCGACAGCGTCTCGTAGGCCTCCTGGACCCGAATAAACCTCCTGGTATGCTCCTCCACCCGATCCGGCAGAGACACGTCCGGGTGGTACTTCCTGGCAAGCTGCTTATACGCTTGTTTGATCTCCAAGAGCGTACCGGTTTCCGGTACGCCGAGAAGCTCGTAGAAGGTCCTCACCGCCGGCTCCTCGATGGTCTCGTTGAGCGACGCCCGCACGGAACCACGGGGACCGATCTGGAACGAGACGAATTGCGGCGGCCGCAGTACGGAGGAAGCGAGGAAGGGAGATTGAAGAGATTCGCCGGTCCGAGGAAGAGGGTGCGCTACGGCGGCGTAGCAGCTGCACATTTCGTGGATTAAAAGTGGAAGCTTAATTGATCTGCTGCTTCTAATGTGCTGTGGAGGATGTGATCGATCCTCCCCTTTCCTTTTCCTCCTTCACCTTTTTTCTTCTGTTGGTGCCGCTCTCCTCTCTCTCTCTCTCTCTCTCTCTCTCTGCCTTTATATATATAATGTATGTATGCATACAGTACGCGGGTTAGCCTTACAATTACATTACTTGCATACGTGTATGTACGATAGTATTCTAACTTTGCATACAATTTATATGCTATACAGAGCTGCTAAAAAATTGATCTTATACGACTGGACACAAAATAATTGGGTTTGGGTCAAAGATTTTAATCCGATTATGTATACCGATTGACACGAATTCGACACAATAATAAACGAGTCGAGTTAGAGTTAAGGCTATCAACTCGAACCCGACACGAAAACCCGATTATAATTTATTAATATTGATTAATATATTTATTATATATGTAAAATAATCATATTTTAATAATTTTCTCATAAATTAATTTAAACTAAATTCAATTTTAAACAATTCAACACAAACTAATAAAAATTAACACAACAGACAACACAACAAAAAATTATTTAATTTGAACTAAAAAATTCGACTTACTTATGTATACGGGTCAACCCGAACCCGTCACAATAATAAACGGGTCAACACGAACCTAACACGATAGTAAACGGGTCGGATTAGAGTTGAGTAATTTAACCTGTTTAAAGTATTCAACCCGACACAAATCCGGCACGAATCGACCCATTGTCAGCTCTAATCCTATACATTAACTCTGGAAAGATGACGGCTACGGTGGTACTGTATGCACCATCAAATTTATTTAATTATGGGTGTATTTCTTTTGGTTCAGTTTGAAAAAATTTGGTTTGAGTTTGATATTAAAATAATGTTTGATGGGATATTCCGTGAAAGAAAAATGTGTATATTTTTTCGAGAAACGCAGAGTTCAAATAGTAAAATTTAAGAAAAATTATCTAAAGAAAGATACATCTAAGGTCAATATTAAGTGAAGTTAATTTCATTATTTTATTATATATTCCTGAAAAGATAAAATACTCTAGGCACTAAGACAATAAAGATGCTATTGCAGAATAGCACAATAACATCTCACAGACATAACACAATAGTATTTTCTATTAATGTGTTCTATATACTTGTTATTTAATATTATTGTTTTTAACTAAATTGTACTTAGTTTTTTTCTTTTTTTTTTGTAAATACAAAGAGAATTAATTCAAAGTTCTAATAAATTATAATCAATTAATTAAATTATTTGTAACATAATAAATATATTATTACTAGTTTTTTTAAAAAAAACACAATGATTATATTTATATAAAAAAGCACATTATTAATTGTAAAATAGCACAATAATAATATTTAAAAAATACAAATATTACTTCAAGAGAACACGGTAAAATTTTCAAAACAACACATAATATAAAAATAATAATGAAAATGTATGCATCGACAAAAAAGATCATATTGATAAATCAAAATATATAATTAAATATTCAAATTAATATATATTACAGTCAGTATTAATTAATAACAATAGCAATGAGCAGAAGCCACACAAAAGGTAAGGCTCAATTGAAGATTGAAAAGAAAGTGAGTGTTCATATATATATTGGTGGAATTTTAGAATTTTGATTGCTGTGATTTAGTGATATATAAACAATGTAATAAACATGACAAAAAAAAAAAGAAGAGACACATAATAATACAATAATTATATAATAGGAGTACAATTATTATATCATAAAAGCACAATCATTATATTACAAGATCATTATATTAACTATGAAATAACAAAATAATAATATTCCTTCCGTCCCATAACAAAGTATTCATTTTTTCATTTTAGTTCGTCATATGACAAAATATTCATTTCTTTTTTAGAAATTGTACTATCTACCTAACATTTCCAATACCCTTACAACTTACAATATATTACACAAATGTCATTACCTTTATATCACACGTACTAATAAAGTTATTTTAGTCATTTGTACTTTATTTCTATTATATCCCAATATAATACTAATATTTCTAAAATTACGTACAAAAGCAAATAGATATTTACTTATAAAATGGAGGGAGTATTAAAAAATACAAAAAAATACTTTAAAAGAACACAATAAAATCAAATTGCAGCACATAAGCCACCACCAAAAAAAAAAAAAAACAAAAAATAAAACAAAAAAAGAAAATTTCAAAAAAAGATATAAAAAACACAATGATTATATTACAACCGAACAATAATTATATTAGAATAACACAATTATTATAGCACAAAATTACAATGATTATATCGCAAAAGTACCGTAATTATATAACAATAGTACAATATTAATTATATAATAAAATAATAATAATATTTAAATAGCATAACAGTATACATACATGTGGCAGAGAGACATGAATTTAAGAAACAATTAAAATTTAAATTTTCTTAAAAAAAAAAATCTAAAAAGTGATATGAATAACACACTAATTATATCACGAAAACACAACAATAATATTATAAGAGCACAATATTAATAACAGAAAAATACAATAATAATATTATAATAGCACAATATTAATAACACAAAAATACAATAATAATATCATAAGAGCACAATATTAATTACAGAAAAATACAATAATAATATCATAAAATCACAATATTAATTATAGAAAAACACAACAATAATATCATAATAGCGCAATATTAATTACAAAAAAGTACAGTAATAATATCATAAGAACACAATATTAATTATAGAAAAACACAACAATAATATCATAAGAACACAATATTAATTACATAAAAACACAATAATAATATCATTAGCACAATATTAATTATATAAAAATAGAATAAAAATATCAAGCACAAAAACACAACAATAATATTAATAAATCATCGTCATTGTGCTTCATATAATTTTCTTTCTACTCGTGATCGGTAATCATCGAGTTTCTCTTCTCATGTATTTATTATATTTATTTCATTTACCTACTTTAAATATATAATTACTTAACTCATTTATTAATTAATTAATTTTTAGCTAAAGGCTTGTTTCTTTAGCCCAAGTTTGTACGTCCAAACAATTTGCACAGTGAAAACGCCCAAATCTAAGCTGTTTGTGTTTTGGGGGACAAGTTCGAAAAAGTTGTCTTTTTTTTTAATAAAATTATAAATATAAAAAAATTATAATAATTATGATTGAATAAAATATATATAATATATAGTCCATCCGTCCCACAAGTATAGTCTGTTTTGCACGGAATTTAAAAAATATTGATATTATATTGTTAATGGGTAAAAAGTACGGATAAAAGATTTTTTTGCCCTTGTGATTGTATTAATGTAAAAAGTAGTGGCAATTGTGTAATAATAATGAAAGAACGAGGGTAGTTTTATAGTGATATAATTATTTATGAAAATGAAATTATTATTTTGGGACGAACAAAAATAGTAAACAAGACTATTGTATTGGGACGGAGGGTGTATATCATTTTGTAGAGAATAAATTTTTTTATAATACAAATAAATAAAAATTTATAAATATATATGTATATAATATATATTTATATATTTTATACAAATTAATACACATCTATATTATTATGGGTATGTTGTCTACAGTTTGGCCGATCCAAACTGCAACAGATTTGACTTTATTTTTTCTCTTTTTTTTTTTAAAATTAAAATATAATGTGTGTTTCTTTTGGTTGAGTTTGAGAAATTTTAGTTTGAGTTTGATATTAAAATAATATTTGATGAGATGTTTTGTGAGAGAAAAAAATGTATTTTTTTCCGAAAAAAGCATAGTCTAAATCGTAAAATTTTAAAAAATTGGGGTAAAGAAACATATAATTTATTATAATTATAAGGGAAAAAAATATATACAATATATATGTCATTTTGTAAAGAATAAAATTTTATATAATACAAATAAATAAAAATTTATATATATATATGTTGGGTATAATATAAATTCATAATCAAATCATACAATATAAATTTTATCAATTAAATTTAATATACATTTATATTATTTTATTCATTATTAATCAAATCAATACACATCAAAACTCCCAAAACTCCAACCAAACCCCAATACAAATCAAACAACAAAATTCAAACTCATCCCAAAATTCAAATAAAAATAAAATCCAAATCCAAAAATCCAAACCCCCCTAAAGAAACACAACCTTAGTTTTTTTTGTCTTTCATTATCTGAATTTTTTTTTCTTATATTTATTTATGTTGAGTAAGAAAAAGCCAATGTGCAAGATTTTCGAGAATGGACTTATAAATTGGATTGATGTATAGTCCAACGGGCCTGATAATGGTAGTAGAGTCTTAAATGAAGTCGGGAGAAGAAGGATGAGACGACCGATAAGAAGGTCGGACAAGATGAAGTCGGGCAACGGAGGATGACACGGCCGATACGGAGGTCGGACAAAATGAAGTCGGGCGAAGAAGGATGAGACGGCCGATACGGAGGTCAGACAAGATAATGTCGGGCGAAGAAAGATGAGACGGTCGATACGGGGGTCAGACAAGAGGAAAAAGGGCCCATTTGAAAGAAAGGTCTGTTAATTGGTCGCTTAATTAAGCGACTGTTAATCACCTAATCGATTGGTCGGTCATTTGGTCCAACCGTAGGTCAGTCGCTTGAACGGACTAGATGGTGGTCGCTTGATTGGGCGATTGATGAATCGTCTGGATAAATGGTTGTTCAGTCGTTTGAAGAGACTGAATGGTGGTCGCTCGAGTGGGTGACTGATTAGTCGTTTGGTCTAGCGACCAGTTAGTATCTGGATTGGTCGGTTGGTCAATCGTTGGGTTATTCGGTAGGTTCAGTCGGTGGAAGGCAGTTGTTACATACGAAATTTATAATTAGGGTAAGTGGCCCAAAATAGGAGGAGATGTGGTCCCGTCTCTGGGCCCATCAGGTGGCTAAGGGGTTTTTCGAGGCAGTCATTGGCCTGCAGTCTGTCTCAAGTATAGCGGGTGGTTGAGTAGTCGTTCGGGATCAGCCGTCCATTTAAGGAGGTAAGGTGCCCAGAGGCGGTCGGTCGAGCCAGTTGAGTTCTGTAACTGGTGGGAGCGGTTGGTGAAACAGTTAA